CTGAAGGGGCAGCGGGTCTGGTCCACCAGCATGATGTTCTCGGGCTTGAGGTCAGCGTGGATGATCGCCAGCTCCTTGAGCCGAGCCAGGGCCCTGAGTACCTGCAGGGTGACCGTGCGGATGTGGCGGGCAGGGAGGGGCGCGAAGTTGTTCTCTTTCTGGAATTCGAAAAGGTTTTGTTCCAGCAGCTCGAAGACCAGGTAGAACTTGAGGGCGTCGTGGAAGAACTCGAGGAAGCGGATGACGTGGGCCTCCTCGGGGTCCAGGCCCCTCATGCAGCGCAGCAGCTTCAGCTCGTTCTTGATGATGCGGTTGCGGTAGGCGTCGTTCTTGAGAATCTTGATGGCCACCATCTCGCCCGTGCTCCGCCGCCAGCCCTTGGCCACCTCCCCGAAGGTGCCCTTGCCCAGCACCTCGATGATGTCATAGCAGTCAGTCTCCGACTGGATGGTGGCCATGGCCGCTCTGCCGCCGGTCACTGGCCTGCCGCTGGCCCTGGTCCACGGACTCTGCTTTCGAGGTCTCCCACCCCGCCGCTGGCCCCGAGGACCCCCAAGTGGGGGAAAGAGAACCACACTTGTACCTTCCCCTGCGAGGTTTGCCCCCGTCTTCCTGGCACCCCCCCAGCCCCCTGGGCCACACCACGACTCTGCCAGGGGCCGCACCCCTCCCCCAAAGCCCTGCGGTGTGGGACCAGGGGCCCCAGGCCCCCTGAGTGGGTTCCAGGTTGCTGAGTGGCTGTGATTCTGTTGTTGGAGACCTGAGCCCCTGACGGAGGTGGGGGGTGGGGTGGCAGGTTGAGCCCCCTCCCCCGCCCAGCTGCGGAACCCATAGGGCCAGGCAGGTAGCAGAGGGGAGTGTGACTGTGGACCCGGGCGTGTGGGAATGGGACACTCCTGGGCACAGGTGAGGAGCGGCAGGCTTTCCAGCTAGGAGGTCGCGTGCACGTGTATGTGTGTCCCTGTCCTACCATAGGGGAGGTGTGGCACCCAGTCTTGAATGTCAGGCTATGAAGTTGGACTTTGGTTATGAGGACACGGAGGAGCCAGAGAAGAGCTTTGGGCAGGGGAAGAGGGGGTCAGATCTGAGCGTCAGAAAGTCACTGGATAAAGAGGGGTGCGCTGGAGGGGGTGAGAGCTTAGGCCCTCAGCCTGGAGCAGGCCCGCGTGGAAGACGTTGGAGAGAGGAGAGAGGCAGGTCACACTGGAGACCAGGTGACAGTGATGGGTTTGGGGAGGAGGAGGGAGCCACCTGGGGATCTAGCCTGAGTGAGGATGTTGGGACGTGGACAAGGAGTCCTTTGGGAGAGACGCTAAGGTTTGAGTAGGAAATTTGAGCATTAAACACTAGACGGCCTTAGAAATCTTACCTGATCCTTAAAACATTCAAGTCTCTTTGGGGTAGCTGACTTTAACAGCTCCATTTAATAGCTCTATTTCACAGAAGAGAAAAAGAGGGAGACCAGGAAGGGGGTTGGGGTGAGTGAGGGCCTGGGAGGAGCCCTGGGGCCAAGAAGAAAAGAGAGACTCAGAAGTCAGGAGCAGGGAGGCAGAGGAGCGCTCCGAGGGGTCACTGACGGTCAGCCAGCATGGCAGGAGGACACCAAGCCCGAATGCTGGGACTGGGCAGGGGACTTATATAGATTATTACGTAGCTAATTCCTGCCATGTCTGGGGGAGACAGAAAAAGCACATGGCATGTCGGAAGCAACCTGAGGGGGGCAGGCGTGAAGGGAGGCATGGGAATAAATGGGGGTCTTGGCAACTCAGGACACAGGGTGGGAGAGTGGGGAGAAGGCAGTGGACAGGTGGATCTTCTGGTCTGGGAGGACATCTGAACAACTGCCTTCTTCCTCCAGTCTGGGGCATCGTGCAAAGACACGGAGGCGTCAGAGGCCCTAGTGGGGGCTAGGGGCTGAGACCCAGGTTTGGGATGGGGTTTGTGTGAGAGAGAACAGCCCCTAGTCCCTAGGAGCTGAGGTCCAGCAGTGATGGGGCTCAGGGCCCTGGGACTCTGTCCTTAAGAGGCAGCCAGGAGGCCTCCCTGGTGGTCTAGGGGTGAAGCCTCAGGGTGAAGGCCCACCTCCATGGCCTGAGTTTGATCCCACAGGGAGCAGCAGACCTCTGCTGTCTCCCCGCTGCTCCCCTCAGCAGTGTCGTCATCCATCTGCCTGTTCTGCTCCTTACTGTCTCTCTGGCAAATCCTCTCATCTCCTGCACCTCTGGCCTGTACCACATTCTTCCCCACAAAAATAAGTAAAATTCTTTAAAAAAAGGGGGGG